GCCCCAGTTTGGATTCAAAACGACATGCTGCGAGTCCATGTCCCGCCCGATCACTTCTGAGCGCTTCCTCCGCCAAATCAGATTTTTAAAAATTGCTTCATCATACCACGTCGTACAAAAAATGCCTACACATGTACATGTACAGTACCTTGTTACAATGCTCGTTCACCTTCATTCGCGTTTTCCACTAGTACACACATCCCGTCCCATCGCACGCAGCAGGATCGCGCCCTACATGCGGTGCCCAAGGTTGACGTGCACCGCCTTGACGTTGGTGTAGTTGTGCAGCGCGTACTCGCCGAGCTCGCGCCCGATGCCGCTCTGCTTGAACCCGCCGAAGGGCACGTTGGCGTGCAGCTGGTTCACGCAGTTGACCTGTGGGTGCGTGTCAGCCGCGGTGGTTGAGGGAGGAACATGAGGAAGGCAAGGGAGGAGGACGGGGGACAACGGGGAAGGGGCGGGGGTGACAACGAGGGAACGGGGAGGACGGGAGGACGACGGGGAGGGAACAGGGGACGGCGAGGGACGACGGGGGAGGGAATAGGGGACGCCGAGGGACGACGGGGGAGGAGAGGGGAAATGGAGGCCGGGAGACGACGGGGAGGGAGAGGAATGGGGAGAGGGAGGGGAGCAAGGACGACGGATGTGGGACGACGACGGGGAAGGGAGGGGTGACGATGAGGGAACGGGGAGGACGGGGGCCGACGAAGGCACGGTGGAAAGGAGAGGAAGAGCGGAAGGGAGAGGAGAAGAAACGCACCCAAGCGGTCCCAGCCTGCAGCTTGTGTGCCGTCTCGAGCGCGCGGTTGATGTCCTGCGAGAACACCGCCGCCGCCAGCCCGTACACCGTGTCGTTCGCCTGCCGGATTACATCTGTCGCGTGGGTCAGCGTCGTATTCGAGTGCACAGATTGAAGGGAAGAGACGCGCTCGCGAGAAGGCGCGAACGAGGTAAGGGAGAAGGCGCGCGAGGAAAGAAAGGAAAGGGACGAAAACTCACCCGTCTCATCCGTAAACTTGATCACAACGCCCACCGGCCCAAAGATCTCCTCCCGCACGATCTTCATCTCGGGCTTGCAGTCCGTGAAGATGGTCGGCTTGATAAAGTAGCCCTCCGTGCCGTGGCGCTCGCCGCCGATGTGCACCGTCGCGCCCTCGGCCTTGCCTGACTCGATGTAGCCCATGATGCGCTGGGGAGGGAGGGAGGGGCGTTAGTATGACGTAGCGGAGCAGAAGGAGGAAGGGAGAGAGGACGCCTCCGCTCAAGGCGAGGCGACGGTGCGCAGCAGGGCGACGCCGTGACGCTGCACGAACGCCGCAAGACGCCGGTGGGGGACCTCGTCCGCGCTCGACGAGCGACGGGGTGGACGAGGCGGTGGGCGCCCTGGACGGGCGGGGCGGGGACTCGGGGTAGAGACGAACGAAAAAAGCGCGGACACTCACATCATACTGTATCTGGCTAACCTGCGGCCCCTGGTCGACCCCCGGCGCAAACGGGTCCCCCACATTGATGCTCGCCGTCTTCTTCGTGAACGCCTCGAGGAACTTGTCGTAAATGCCCGCCTGCACGAAGATGCGCGAGCCGGCGCAGCACGCCTGGCCGTGGTTCCAGCTGGGGGAGGGGTGTCAGTGAAGATTTTTGGGGAGGGGAGGGAAAGAGTGAGGGAGTGGAAAGGGACGGAGGGAAGTGGCCACCAGCAAGCGGGATGCGCAGACGGAACGTCCCAGCGCACGACGACAGCGGGGTGTTACTGTGACCCACGCCTCCCGCTCGCAACGACAGTACCCTCGCTATCGCGCTGCCATCCACAGAGGCGACATCCTCACATCCACGCGCACTCGCGGCCCCGGGGGTGGTCGACGAGCCTCGGCTTCCGTACGAAGAAGGGGGGGTAGGAACACTCACAAAATCCCATGCGCCGCCCAGTTAACCGCCTGCTCCAGGTTCGCGTCGTCAAAGATGATGTTCGGGCTCTTCCCGCCCAGCTCGAGCGTCACGTTCTTGAGGTTCGAGGCGGCGGCCGCGGCCATGACCTTGCGGCCGACGAGGGTGGAGCCGGTGAAGGCGACCTGCGGAGGGGTTGGTTAATAAGTGGGGAGGAGGAGGGGGGATTAGTGAGGTGGGGAGCGAGGGCGAGAGGCAGCGTCGTCGGCGCAGCGCACACGACAGCGAGGACTCGGATAGAGGGGACCCGATGGAGTGTAGGCGCCACGAGCGAGGGCAGGAATCGGAGACGTGCGGGGAAGAGTACCCGGGGTCGCAGAGTAGAATAGAATAGAGCGAAACACACCTTCTGGATATCCATATGCTCCGAAATCGCCTGGCCAACCGTGTTGCCGTACCCGACGAGGATGTTGACGACGCCCTTGGGGAAGCCTGCCTCCGCGATGAGGCCGCACATGCGCAACGCGGTGAGGGGCGTGAACTCGGAGGGCTGGGGGGGCGGTTAGCACGCGAGATAAAAGTAGGACGCAAGGATAAGAGTGGGAAGCAGCGAGAAAGGGGGTCAAGGGAGAAAGAGAGACGAAGGAAGAGAACGAGTAGCGATGTATTCAGGGACGAAGGGAAAGCGCGGAGGGAGGGAAGGGGTGGTAACGAGGACGCGGGGAGGCATAGGGTGGCGTAGGGCGGCGTAGGGCGCCGAGGAGAGGGCGCGCGCAAGGGAAGGAAATACAGAAGTGGAGGGGGAGAGAAGGGAGGGAGGGGGGGGGGAGCGCGAAATGGGAGCGCCGAGACAAGAGGATGAAGGTAAAGGGGCGGTGGGGACACGAGGAAGGCGGAGGAAGAGGGACAAGAAGCGAGAACAAGGAGCATGGGTAGGGTAAAAGGAGAGGAAGAGTGAAGGGCGAAAGGCGGCGGGTGAGAAGCAGAAGGTGATGGAAGAGAGAGTGGGGAGAGGGATAAGAACGGGACGATAAGGACGGGAGGGAGGAGGAGGCTCGGGGCCGCGAAATAATGGAGGTGGGGGGCGCTGGAAATGTAATGTGTGGAGAGTAACTAGGCCACGGAGCAGAAGGGAGGGAGAGGCATGATGGGCGGATGCGGGAAAGGAACAGGACGGGAAGGGAATGGGCGGACGCGTGGGCCAAGAATCGGTGAGCCGAAGGGGGACGTGAAGGTAGGGCGTGTAGGAGAATGGGAGAGCGCGAGTAGGGCGGAGCGGCGGCGGCGGCGGCGTGAGGCTCGCTGCCGGCAGTGCCAGCTTGGCACGAAATGAAGGGTGCGAAGCGGAGGGTGTGAAATGAAGGAGGGTGGGTGGGAAGGCGGGGTAGAACGTTCCAGGGAAGGCTGGGTACGAAAGAGAGAGAGCGGATGAAATGGAATGGAAGGGTATGGCAGAGAATGGAATGGAAGGAGGGTACGGCAGAGAATGGAAGGGTATGGTCCAAAACGAAAGGCAGGGCGAAGGGAGAGGAAACACACCTTGAGGACGATGGTGTTGCCGGTCGCGAGCGCGGGGCCGATCTTCCACGCGAACATGAGGAGGGGGAAGTTCCCTGCGAGGAGATCAGCATTCGTTCGTAGAGGTATGGCGTAAAATCAAAAGACAGCGCACGAGGCACAACGGAAAGCAGAACATGAAGGAAGGACGGAAGAAACGGCGACTCACAAGGGATAATCTGCCCCACGACGCCGATAGGCTCATGGCGCGTGTAGATGAGCTTCTTCTCGTCCGTCTCGAGCGTCTGCCCCGTGATCTTGTCCGCCCAGCCCGCAAAGTACCTACCCCGCGCGTCAGCCTCACATTCCTCCTTCAAATCGAAAGGAAGGAGAGAGAAACGCACTTGATGGTCTGGATGCTGAACGACACGTCCACGCCCTTGGCCCACGAGAAGGTCTTGCCTGCACGATCACAATCATACTCAGTACATGCCCACAGTAGAGCGAAGAGGAAGGCGCACCGTTGTCAAGGGACTCAATCGCGCTGAGCTCGTCGAGGTGCTCCTCCATGAGCAGCGCGAGCTTGTTGAGCATGGCGCCGCGCTGCGCGCCGGAGACGTTGAGCCCCCATGTCGTCTCGAGCGCCGCCTGCGCGGCCTTGACCGCGACGTCCACATCCTTCGCCGTCGCCTCCGCGATCTTGGTGATCAGCGTCCCGTTCGTCGGGTTGATCACACTGCGCGTCCGTATGAGTCTCGAGATCTCGCCAGCACGATTGAAGGAAGGAGGGGAACGCACTCGATGGTCTTGCCATCCGCGCCATCGCGGAACTCGCCGTCGATGTACACGCCGGTGGGGAAGCTCGTCTTGCCCGTGTACGACTGCGTCTTGAACTCGTGCGTGAATGTTGGTGCCATCTTGTTCTTGTTCTGCTTTCTTCTTCTTCTGGTTGGTAGGCGAGTGAGAGTAGGAGGAGGAGGAGGATAAGGTGAGGAGGACTTGGCGGTTGTCGCGATTTAAGTAGGAATGGAGCCGGGCTGGGTTTATATACACCCGACGCAGCTGACCTGATCAATGCGGAAGGAAACGCCAAACCCAATTGATAATGCTTTCACGTCAAATCCCAAGCCTCTATACGGCCGCCGCTTCTTTCTTCTTTCCTCCACGGTCCCTCGTTCTCAGGCAGTGTCTTCTTTCCCATGTCTTTCAGTGTATAGATGAGCGAGTAGAGTGGCCGCCGTCGATGGACGTGGTAGAGACGCGCAGCGGGCCGTAAGCGTCGGATAAGCGCGATCGGGCCGCAGCTGACCCGATCACAAGCACCCCATCTTTGATTAAATCATGCGGGGCGTGGGGAATGTGGGGTGGCAGCGGACAGGGGGCGGGGCTCCGTGGGGCGGGCTAACGAACAGACGCAATAGTTTGGAGGAAGCAACAATTTAATGATGAAATTGGGGTACATAGTAACGATTTGGCAATGGTGCGTGAGAGTGGGAGCGGGAGGGGTTGAGGGCTGAGGAGAATGAAAGAGTTTGCTCGGTGAAGCATGGTAACAGAAAGAAAGTAGGATAAAGATGAGAGGGAGAGACAAAAAGAAAAATTGCTACACGTATACGGCAAACCTCTAGTGGGATTTGAACCCACGTCTCCTCGTGCAACAATCTTGCTGATGAACTCTGTCGAGGTGATTTCCAACTCATCCACAGAGACTTACTTGCCTGCTGCTGCTGCTGAATATATACCTAAATTTGCCTCTGAAACTAGAAGGAACGACCAAAAAGCCCTCTGTATGTCCCCACCGAACTGGCAGTGCCAATTCGAGGTGATGCCCATCCATCCACACGGGTTTCCTCCCCATGCCTTTCTTTATTTCTTTATCCCACACCTCCTGGCTCGACTTATGTATTCAAGAAAAAGAGAAAAACGAAGGGTTGAAAGCTAAAGCCTCCGGTAGGATTCGAACCCACATCTCCTCACACAACAGCTTCAAGTTTGAACTATCAGCAGGAGTCCGGACGAGTCAATTTCCCTTTCATCCACAGAGGCTTCCTTACGTCCTTCCTCCTGCTGAGTATATGACGCCAATCCGGGAGTACAGAAGTAAAAAGGTTATTTTATGTCAATGCCACCCGCAAGCCTGTGGTGGGGTTTGAACCCACATCTCATCGGGAAATTGTATTTTAATATTGATCGAGGTGATTTCCATTCATCCACAGACGCTTCCTTCCTTCCTCTTGCCGCAAAATATACCACCCCGGGAACGCTAAACTCAACTCAAGTCGTTTTGAAGAGAGGGGTACATCAGTCCATGCTTCTAGATTTTCGAGACATCCTTGATGCATGGCAGCTATTCATCATCCCGATTCCCGCTACGCAACAGACGAAGAAGAAGAAGAAGAAAAAAGTGAATCAGCTGGCAGTGCCTGTGGTGGGATTCGAACCCACATCTCCTCGCGAGATCCGAGCAGTACAACATACAGGATCAAGGTGATTTCCATTCATCCACAGAGGCTATCCTTCCCCCTCTTGCTGCCGAATATATCCACCACCCACTGGCAGTAACGCTGAGCTCAACTTGACTGGACTGGACCGGAAGCATTAAAGCGGGCATACCAAGATCACTCGAAGAGAGGTGCATGAGTCTACACCGCTAAATTTCCGAGGCGTACTTAGTAGCCACTAGTCATCCCATCCCGGGTAAGCGACAACTCAAAAGATAAAAAACGCAGTGGAACGCGTCATTTATGCCTCCAGTGGGAGTCGAACCCACGTCTCCTCGCGAAAGTTAAACATGCTCAATGCTGTGCATAGACTCGAGGTGATTTCCCATTCATCCACAGAGGCTTCCTCCCTCCCTCTTGCTGCCCAATATATCCCACCACCCCGCACCCCTGAGTTCAAAATCAAGAGCAAAAAACCTACAATGAGTAATGGACAACCACTGACACATCTAAATTCCTGCGATGCATTGAACATAAGTACTGCTGCGGCTATGAAATATGAGCTGCCGAATATATACCTAACTTTGTCCCTGAAACTAGAAAGAACGAAATAAAAATGACCGATGAAGACACAGGCCTCCGGTGGGATTTGAACCCACATCTCCTCGCAAGATCCAAACCTCTACATCATACAAGATCAAGGCGATTTCCATTCATCCACAGAGGCTTCCTCCTTCTCTCTTTCTGCGGAATATATTCACCCCCAGTACCTCTGAGCTCCACCTTGACTGGAAAAAAGCAAACATACCAGGATCACTTGAAGAGAGATGCACATCAGTCCATGCCTCTAAGATTCCAAGATGTGCTTAGTAGTTACTAGTCATCCTGTGGATATGCAAGAGATTGGAAAAACAAAAAAAATATTGCCGATCTGACTATGCCTCTGGTGGGATTTGAACCTACATCTCTTCGCGACAGAGCTGTATCGCTCCCCACAAGATCGAGGTGATTTCCTTTCATCTACAGAGGCTTTCTTACTTGGTTTTGATGCAGAATATACCACGATACTCATGCCCAGTAACTCTGAACTCAGCTGACAAAGGACTGGAAGGAAAGCGAACATACCAATATGAAGATCACTTGAGGAGAGGCACCGTACAACAGTCCGTGCTTCTAAATGTCGGAGATGTACTTAATAGCCACTAGTCATCCCACTACGCAACAGACTCAAACTCAACGACAAAAAAAGCATGCAGCCCTAGGTATGCCTCTGGTGGGATTCGAACCCACGTCTCCTCGCCAAATCGTGCCGTTCACCTTACAAGATCGAGGTGATCTCCATTCATCCACAGAGGCTTCCTTATCTGCTCTGCTGCCAAAGATATCCTGCCACCCTACAACTTCGGGCTCAAACTGAAGAGAAAAAGAGGTATAATGAGTTGATGAAAAGCCTGCTCACTCAATGCATCTAAATTTCCAGGATGTATTTAGCATACTGCTGTGGCTACGGAACTTGAGACAAAAAGTCGCTTCTCCCTATCTAAGCCTCTGGTGGGAGTTGAACCCACATCTCCTCGCCGATGTTCTCTTGAAATCATACGGACTCGAAATGATTTCCATTCATCCAGAGGCTTTCTTACCCTCTCTTGCTGCCAACCATATCCACTCTGCAACTCTGAAATCACATTCAAACATATCACGACTTGATGAAAAGTCCACTCAGTCAAACACATTAGGGCTGCCACCCGCGCCCGTGACGGGCACGGCCGTCAAATCCACGGCTTTTCGACGGCACGGGCCGTCTCGAAACGGCCCGTCAAGTGGCTGAAAAAATCCTTGACGGCACGGCACGGTCAACGGCACGGCCGTAACGGGTACACGGGTATACTCGAAACTTTTTATGTTTGTTCCTTGGTCTGAATTCGATCCCTCGGCTCCTACGAGTTATATGATAACCTTGATGAGCTGTCAGACGTCGATCTCAGAAATTGGTAGAACTATAACCAATATCTTAGCGCTCAGAGAAGCACATGCACCCTCAAATATTCCAGGAATGGTGCTGAGAGCCTATAATGTTGACTGGACCCCCTTCAAATGAATAATATTGGAGGAATCAGTGAACACATAAAGAAAGTGGACGATGAAACGAACTTGAAAGTCCGCCATCACTTTCGGCAATTGCCGGTATTGCCGCAACTTTGACTGCAGCTTGCAAGTTTGGAGGCAAGAAGTGTCAGAACACACAGAAGGCATGTTGAATGTGTTCCGGGGACACTTGAGACACGCTCCGTTCAAAATTATGCCTTCCCGATGACGGGAAAAAAACAAGCCGTTCCACGGCCGTGACGGCCGTCTTTTAACGGGCCGTCAAGGTGCAAACCCGTGCCGTACCCGTGCCGTTGAACTCTGGCAAAAATGGCCGACGGAACGGGCACGGCACCCGTGCCACGGGTGCCGTCGAACCGTGGCCACGGTCACGGGCGGCAGCCCTAAAACACATTTAAATTGCTGCGATATATTTCGCAGCCCATATTTAGCATGGCTGCGAAAAATGAGAAGAAAAAGGAATACCTTCTCGCACCTTGCAAGCCTCTGGTAGGTTGAACCCACGTACCTCCAGAAGTTCTATTAAACCAGATAAAGTCGAGGTGATTGCCCATCCATCTACAGAGGCTTCCTCCCTCCCTCTTGCTGCACAATGAATTACCACTCCGCGGAAAAACACCAAGTAAAGGCACAAGGCTAACTAGCTCATGCTCTGAAGTCTTCCAGCCAGAGCCAAAAGAAAGAAGACACCTGGAATTTGCTCACACCTCTATTGATGGGAGTCGAACCCACATCTCCTCCTCCTGACGTCCTTGCCATATCTATAATACTTCTGACCTGAAGCATGGGACAAGAAAAGGAAGAAAGGAAAAGAAACTTCTCAAATCACAACCTAAGCCCCTGGTGGGATTTGAACCCACATCTCGCCGCGAAGATACAAACGAAACATTCATCAACTCGAGGTGACTTTCCATTCATCCACAGAGACTTCCTTACCTGCACTTACTGCAGAATATCTTCACCACGCAATAACTCTGAGCTCAAATTGACCGGACTGGAGGCAAAGCTTGAGCCTTAGGAAAAACCGATGGGGAGTGAACGGCCATATTATCTGGGCGAGCAGAGAGATGCCTCTCGTTGCACGCAGCGGCGGCGCCCCAGCGTCCACAGGGAGCAGGGTGTGAGCCCATGTTCTAATCTTCCTCGAATATCCGACAGGTGGTAGCTTTATATACAATCTCCGATTGATCCACAGAGGCTTTCTTTAATTACAGCTGTGAATATTGTTGTCGTAATGCGAGGCCAAAGCCCCTGGCAATCTCTGTGAAAATAAGGATGTTAAGGCCCATCCCGGGCACCACGTAGATCGTACATTTTCTCTGGGTCTTTCCTTTTCAACCTTTCAAACCAGATTCTTGGACCAATGGCAGTCCGTCAGCTGTGTCCCGACAAATACTTGGGCCCCTATGCATAGCATTTGCCGTGTGTCCTTCAATAGTACATTTGTTAAAACTTAAAATGTACTTGAATTTGAACTAGAATTGAACCGGGAATTCAAGTGTGCACGGCTGCCAGCGTCCGACTACTGGTCTTATCGCCGCCGCCGCCAATACACTCTGCAATGTCGCGTCCGAGGTAATTTGGAGGGGCCGGAACCCGGGGAGCTTGAAAGATGGCCAGAAATCGTGGCGAGGGACACACTTCGGATCGTCACTAAAGCGTCAAGTTTGATCCCATCGGCGGGAACTCGGGGCAGCGCTGGGATAAGTATGTAGTATGTAGTGACTTGTCCAATCGGCACTCCCTGGTCTACATGTCAAGTCTCAGAATGGGCATCCAAGGTGAGTCCAACGGCTGCTAGCCGACTTCGCGGTCGCAGATTCTACTGATTGAGCGCTGGATGGGTTCGGACGTTCTCATCCTACGTCCTGCCGTTGCCCACTCGGCTTGGGGGCCGATCCTCGAGAGGTCTCACGAACTGAGCTCCCCATTTTTTTTTTTTGCGGTGGGCCCCGGCCCCGGCGTCTGCAGATAGCCCAAAGTCTCCAAACGGCGAGTCTCCCAATCGAATTAAGGACGGACCTCATCGGCGCGGTGTCAAGGAGAGGGCGTTGGAACCTATTGAAGGAGCGGAAAAAAATGGACCGGTCGAGGGCAAAGATAATTAAGCAATACGGAACAGACCCAGCGGTAACAGAAATTCAAGGATTAGACAGACCGGCGACGTTGCTGTGTGGTTCTTGAAGGAAAATAAACCCCAGACCCGAAGAGCGTTGAATGTTGAAGAAAGAAATAACCCGAGACGACCACTGCCAGTGAGTATAATAGCTTTATAACAAACCGAGGTACGAGGTTTAATGTTATAGCGTTTATAAGAGACTAGAATAGCTTGAGTCTTGAAGCCCAGAAACACTATCGAGTTCTTGCAAATTTTTGTCGTCAGACCAATGTCCTACTTTGGTTCCAATCTCAAGTCATTCAAGGTTCAGAATCAATCATGGATCCAACTTATGTTATAAATGAGGAGGAGCGAGCAAAACGAGGCCGTCCGAATCGGACTCGGAGACATCGGCCGACCGGGTAAACCGGAATAGCTTCCCGAGAGTCTCCGTTTGTCCTCCTACGCGTTGTCCGCCAGCTGCCCCTCGCCCCCCGCCTGCTCCAACGCGCGCGCCTAGTTGTCATTCTCCTCATCAGCTTGCTGTCTTAGATCCTTTATGAGCGAGCACTTCATCTTGCGGTAGTCAAGCGCCGCGGGCTGAGCGCGGTGCTTTTGCTCCAGATCCTCAGGTTGTACAAGCCGAGACTTGACATTTGAGCCTCACATTGAAAAGTGCTGGTCCAGGGACGATCGACCGATCCTCGCATCGCTTACAACCGGACGTCGAGTGCGCCTGCTCTGCTCACATGGCGTGCGAGCAGAACGATATGATCTCCGAAAAGGTGGGTTTTACTTTCTCTCTGTCTCTCTCGCAAAAGAGACAGACGAAGCGGAGCTGACGTGCGCATTTTTTTTTGAGAGGAACTCTGCCGTTCGAGCATGACGCTGTCCCGGAGGATGATGAAGCTCGTCAAGTGCAGCTGGTAGCGGATTCCTGGTGCGTTTATTTTGTTACCCCTCCCCCTTTCGCATTCCATCCATAGTGGTACTCGTACATTCATTCTCCACATCCGTTCGCCTCGCTATCGTTCGCGCGACCCACCCCTTCCTAGCACAGCCCAGCGCACGCCGCATCTCTCCTCCTCCATCCTTCTGCATCTTCTTCTTGTGCACGCCATCCCTCAGCCATGGCGGTCCCTACCTCCCTTGCGATCGTGACTATACAAGCGCCCTTTACCCCTCCGTCCTCTCGCCCTCTTCTTCGATCCACCCGCACCCTTCCCCTCCTCTTTTCCTTTTCCTTTTCCTTTTCCTTTCCCTTCTTGCTCTTTCCTTGCAAGCTCCTACCGACTCTTTCATTTGTATCCGCCAACTCACACTCCGTCCAGGGACCCATCTCGATGGTGCGCGCGCGTGCGATTTGCGATGTCCGCTTCCCCGCGAGCGCTCGCTCCACCGTCATGCGTCACCGCAGCGCCGCGTCGGCCGCAACGTCGCATGTCTGGAAGCCAGCGCGTACGGATGCGCGGCGTATGACGACGTGGTATTCCGCTCAGCAACAACGGCGCCATTTCCATGCAGCGACCCCAAACGCTGGTTCAGCACCGACAACGAAATCCGCACATCACCAACGACAACGGCTGTCCGCCGCGCAGGCGGCGGGCCCGCCGTACGTCGACGAGCCGCGACGACCTGCGCCTTGATTGCGCGGTATCGCTCTCGAGTTTCTCGCCGCCTGCGCGCTCGTCAGCTGAGATGACCGAGCACGAAATCAAGACAGACACACACCGCGGAGAGCGCGTCGGTGTAATGCCGCCGGGCGTCGAGTGCCCACGCGTGGCGCGCCTCCTCAACGTGTTGCGCATGCACGACCCGACGAGGGAATGCTGGTGTGCCTTTCCCCTCCCTCCGCTGCTCTTCATTCCTTCACTGACGCGCGTGTGTTCTTGCAGGGGCTACACCGGTCGAGGATGGCGCTGGGCTGGGACGTGGGCGTAGAGCCTTGCGCTGCGGAGAAGGATAGCCGAGAGCGGGTGCGAGGTGCGTTATTCTCCTACGCTTTTCTTTCAGTCCCAGCTTCGTCGCATCCTCCCCCGCCCCCACCCTCGCCTCTGCTACCTTCCACTCCCGAGTCTCTTCCCCTTCTGCGTCCTCTTCTCAGCTCCTCCTACCTCCATCCCTCCTCCTTCCTCCCCGTGCCTCTCGGACCCCTCCCTGCCTCGCACTTCCTCCCGCTCCCGCTCCCTTCCGCGTCGCCCCGAGTCTTCCCCCGCTCGCTGCCGTATTCAGCCCCCCAGCTCGCTGCTGTATTCGTTACCCCCCTCCGCTTCCCCCCCGCTTCCCCTTCCTCATTCGTTCCCCCTTCCACGGCTTTCCCTTCAAATCTACCGGCTAACGCGCCATGCAGGGATCTGCGCGCGCTCGATCGACAGCGTGCGCTTATGCACGCGCGCGCGTTGCTTCGCCATGCGCTGCTCGGGCGGCGCGTACAGCGCCAGATGCGTTGGTGCAGTGGATCCCCAGCGGCGCCGGCGCCGGCGGCGGGCTGGGCGTGCGGGGCCTGGGCCGAAGTCGTATCCAGGCGCCATGGACCGACGCTGTGGCAGCAGCGACTAGACCTCTGGTCCTGCACCCGCCTTCCCCGTCTTCCCATTCGAGGACCTGCGCCTCTATGTGGTGCTCCTCGAGCGTCTTGCTGCCTGCCCGCGCGGGCCGAGACCGTGATGACGAGGGACCCCGGGCTACGCTGCGATGGGCTGATGGCGGGGGTCAAGCCTGCGCGCGAACGCCGAGTCCGATAATGACGAGGGGCCAGGGTGAGTGAGTCCGCCGTACCTCCGGCCTCTGCTCTCTGATGCTGATTCGTGCGTGTTTGCGTTACAGATCGGGAGAGCGGGTGTCTTTTACTCCTTTACTTTTCTCGTACTTGTACTCGGCCCCCTCGTCCTCGCCTCTATCTTACAAATGCATTTTCTTCCCGCCCTGCGTTTATTCCGCATCGCCTTCGCATCCTTCCCCTCTCCCTTAACGATCGTTCCATTCTATCCACCTCCCCTTGTCAATCATTCCATTCTACCTACCTCCCCGTCTTCGTACCTTCCCTTCCTTCCCATATGTACTCGCCCCTTTCTACTATCGTCCTTCCAGGTTTCCGGTCATCCCCCCTCTTCCTTCCCCCATTTTTCCGAGCGAGTGTATTTGGTGCGCGCGCGGTCGGCGGGTGTGCGTTTGTGCACGAGCACGCGCGTGTGCGCGGCTCATCCGTCATATCGTGCGGCGGCGCGCAGTGCACGGGTAGCCAAGATCGCACGCAGCGCCGTCAGTATGTGCGGGGGCGGCCGCAGGGTGTATGGATTCCGCTGCGTAGGAGGGGAACCGCAGCCGACGCACGCGCACGCGGACGCGACTCGGAGGACGGTGGTGGTAGCGTGTATGCCCCCGCACCCGGGTAAGGCAGGAACCCCGTGCTGTCGTCCAGCTGGTTCTGCGTCGTCGCATCGCGGCGCGGAGGGAAGCGTCGGCAGCAGCGCCATGCGCGCTGCAAGGGTGTGTTGCGGGCCCTGGAGCGCGCGGGGGCGATAGGCCGCACTGGGGCCGTAAAGCTGTAAATAGCACTAAGCGCTGTGGTACTCTAGCGCCCACGCGGCAGTGCGGCGAAGCTTCGCGCACCGAGGACCTGTACGCCGCCGCGTCCGTGGGAATGGAATCGGGGAGCGGAAGACGTCGGGTACGCGGGAAGGCGGGGTCAATGCTCTGGTCGATGTCGGGGGCGCCGTCTTCCATTGTTCCCGGTCGTTTACGGTTCTATCATCCTATCATAAGTTCGCCGTCAGGCGTGCACCGGTGCTGCGGGATGCATGTGTTGCTGTCAAGGGGAATGACCCGCG